CCTGCGCCCCACTGCCCGGAGCGGCCCCCGCCACGGCCGCTGGGGACCCGCGCTCGGCAGGACGGTCCTGGGGCCCCCGTACCCCGGCCTGGGACCCCTCACCCGGGGTCGGCGCCCTGGAAAGTCGGGGACGCCCAGGCGTGCGGATCCCGGATGTTGGATCACCTGCACGGGGGGGTGGTTCTGCCGGTCGTGGGGCTCGAACTCGGGCCCTGGGCGCTGCCCCTCCGCTCTGCAGCGCCAGGCGAGCGCTCTACCGCGCCAGCCACAGCGCCGCTTCCGGTTTCCGGGTGGTTCATTGGCGATCAGGGCCTCACGGACTTTCCTCCCGGGCTGGCTTTGAACCGCGATCCTCAGAACGTTTCCCTGTGCGCCCGGCCTGGCCCGGAGCTCGGCCCATCCCGCCTCAGCCTCCGGGATGTGTGGGGATCACAGGCGTGAGCCACCACCCCTGGCCTGCATTAGAGTTCCTAAAAATCAAAGGTAGCCAATGGGAAGGTTAAAAGGTGTTTGTGCCTTAAGAATCACCACACTGTGAAGCAGTGACATGTATGCAACCACCTGACCTCAATCAAAAAGAAAGTGGGGCTGGGAAGGTGGCTCAGGGGTAGAGCGCTTGCCTTGCATGCATGAGGCCCTGGGTTCAATTCCTCAGCACCACATAAGCAAGAAGAAAAAAGCCCAAAGTGGAGCTGTGGCTCAAGTGGTAGAGTGCTCACCTTGAGCTGAAGAGCTGAGGGACAGAAGGACAAAAATAAATAAATAGAAAGCGAGCGAAGGGGTGGGTCAGGAGCATTGGCTGACAGTGCCAGATGCCCGGTGCTCACACATGGTTTTGTAGAAAGGGAACTTCTTGTGCAACCACTGAAAGGTAATAAATACATGCATGCATCTTTACAATAAAAAATAATAAAAGAGTAAAACAAATCAAAGCCTGTAGTTCGTGGCTCACGCCTGTAATCCCACCTACTACTCCAGGCTGAGATCCAAAGATCATAGGTCAAAGCTAGCCTGGGAAGAAAAGTCTATGAAGCTTATCTCTAATTAACTCCTGCAAAGCCAGGAGTGGAGGTACGGTTCTGGTGGTAGAACACCAGCCCTGAGCTGAGAAAGTCAGGCAGAAGTGCAAGTCCCTGAGTTAGGGCCCAGTCCCGGTACAGAAATAGTCTCACATATATAAAATTGGATCCGTGGCATTTCCGTATATATCCCTCCTAGGCCAGGGCTTAATTTCTGAATTGTACGTAATATCTGCATGCATGGCAGCATGCGTGTGGTCTCTGCTCTCATTGCCAGCCCTGAATCTGCGTGTCCTGTGACCAGGCCCTGACCTTGTATGTGCGTTTCTATTTAAAGACACCTGATAGACTATCAGCTGTTGATTCATTAAGACAACGCTTGGCACTGGAGCCGTATCAGGCACACATTCCCTCCACCCCGAGTCACCGCTGTGACTGCGCCGTTCACAACAGTTAAGTCACGAATCACCTCCCCCCCCAGGCAAAAAACCAGGCACTAAGCGAAGCCCAGAAAGCACCTTTCTTGGGGGGCTGTGTGCAAGTTGAGAGGGCAGGGGGCTGAGGTGGAGCAGCTGGGAGGGGCGCCGGGCACCCAGGGGTGGCAAAGGCCATGGGTGTCAGCCGTAGGTGACTAGGCCTGTGAGTACTGACCTGGAACGCTGCATCTGCCTATGCAGCAGTGCACAGGACCACCTTGCAACATGTGGGGGCATGTCCAGGAAGAAAGCTTTACACCGGATTTCCAGTCCCCTGTGCGCACTGCCCTTGGGTATCTGGTTCCCATGACAGGCTGGAGGCTGGGTGTAGAACTG